ATGAGTCTTAATCAGATTTGAAAATGTAATATTTGATGACTTGATTTTACATTAAAAAGAAAAACATTTCCTTAAACACAAACCTCCTCTTTTTTCATTTTGTTTTTATAATTAGAGTTGAAAGCTTCTTTCCAAATAACTCCTTTAAGGCCATGCAAGGTGCTCACTTTGATTATATAGTATATAAAACACCTCTCAGGGCAAAAGACCTAGCATGGTTAATTGTTTGACAGTTATTATCTAAACTTCAAATAACAAAAACCTTTATTTGATTTGATAGAATGTCATAAGTGTGACTAAAAAATGTTAGAAATGTAAGATATTTTTCTAAAATTTATAAGATTTAAGGAAGGTTGTAAGGTTTCAGGAAAATATTTTGTATAAGCAATAAGAAATATCTGTTTATTGTCATTGACATGAAAATAATGGAAATAAAGGCAGTGAACCAGAATTTATTTCAAAGGGCAATTTCTGTGAAGATTAGCATTTTTATTATCTGTGCATAGTCATGTTGAATAGGCATAGTTGTTTTTCTTGACAGCCTTTCTAGCACTAAATTATGTGGTCATTCCTGGGAGCAAGTGTGATGGAAAGTGAAGCTTACCAATCACAACGTCTAGTAAATTAAAAGTTACCTGTTGATACCACCAGGTAGGGTCTCACTCCCATTACTATGCTTTTTTTTCTTTTCTATTATTTATAAGTGATCTCCCAAAAAATATAATGATTTCCTCTCCTTACTTTGAATGAAATGAGCTCTAAATGGTCAACTCCATTCTCCCTCGCCCAATTATACTGGCAACTATGGCTATACAAGTACTCTGGCCGAGCTCTCAGTTCCTGAATATTGAGATCAAAGATATATATATGGGAAAATAGTAGAGCTTAGAGGTTTGCTAGAGAACAATATAGCATTTTCTATAGATAGCTTTACAGAAACACAGCCAACATTCAGCATTTTAATAGCAGCTGAGGCTGGCCACAGTGGCTCATGCTTGTAATCCTAGCACTTTGGGAGGCTGAGGTGGGCGGATTGTCTGAGCTCAGAAGATTGAGACCAGCCTGGACAACATGGTGAAACCTCATCTCTACTAAAATACAAAAAATTAGCTGGGCATGGTGGTGCGTGTCTGTAGTCCCAGCTACTGAGGAGGCTGAAGCATGAGAATTGCTTGAACCCAGGAGGCGGAGGTTGCAGTGAGCTGAGATCGCACCACTGTACTCCAGCCTGGACAACAGAGTGAGACTCGGTCTCAGAAAAAACAAGCAGCTGAGTTCTTTTTTTTTTTTCTTTAGAGAAAAAAGGAAACATATACATACAAACTATATATGCACATATATAAGTTCAAAAAGTGATCCGAAGAAGTCATTTCTTAAAATTTTTAACATTTCAAGATGTTTACCTTCTCTGTTGGGATGTCTATATTTTCATAACTGTCCTTCAGTTTTAAAGCAAAGGATGGCCAGGCTCAGTAGCTCACACCTGTAATGCCAGCACTTTGAGGGGCTGAAGTGGGAGGACCACTGGAGGCCAGGAGTTTGAGACCAGCCTGGGCAGTATAGTAAGACCCTGTCTCTACTAAAATTAAAAATTAGCCTGACATGATGACGCACACCTGTAGTAGCCACCCAGGAGGCTGAGGTGGAAGGATTGCTTGAGCCCAGGAGGTTGAGACTGCAGTGAGCTATGATCGGTTGTGCTACTGCACTCCAGCCTGGATGACAGAGCAAGACCCTGTCTCTAAAAATAATAAAAATAAAGTGAAAGGTGATGAATGCAAAGCAAGATGATTACGTAAGGTCAGATCCAGACCAAGGCAGTGTCTTGCATATATATGGATATTCAAGCGCTGGCTACCTTCTGGGTGTCATCTCGATGCATTTCTCCTCAGTTTGGTTGAGCACCAGCTTTGAGCACAGCACATGTCGTTAAACTAAAAAGTGTCAGACAAGATCCTTGCTCTTTTGAGTTTCTGGTTTAGTTCTCCCCAAGTAAATGTGGTAAAGGACCAGTTTGTTATTTTCTTGTTTTGTTTTAATTTCCAGTTTATCTTGAGCCAGTGCTTTTACAAATACAATAAAAATTAATTACAGGAAAATGAAATCTAAAAGATATATAAAATAAGCCCAAATTTTTAAATTATTGAATTTAACAGTTATAAACATAGTTTGTCCAACTGCTGTAAAAATTTCTAAGCTCTTATTCTCACAGATTACAAATGCTTATTTCTTCATGGACTGGTAATAGTGTTTATGGATCAGCATTGATCCATGGACCACACTTTGAGTCACAACGTGTCTTTTTGCAGGGGGACAGTACCACTCCCTTACACTTAGGCTAAGCTTGTGCTGAATACATACCACACTGCTGCCCACACATAGCCACTCTTTCTCCTCCCTCAGCCTAGAATATCTCTTCTCCGCCATCTCCTGCTGTATTGAAATGCCCCCCGAGTCCTTTAAGATGTATTTTAAATGCCACCTTTTTCATCAAATCTTCATACTCTCCCACCAGTACCACTAACAGCAACTGGGTTTGAGCTTTCCCTCCTATGTTCTGAGTAGTCTGCCTCTTACAATCATAAGGCAGAATAGCGATGTGGTAAAGGGGTTTGGGCTCTGCAAGCAAAGAAACCAAGATTCAAGCCCCAGATTAAGTGGGTGACGTTGAACAAATTCTTAACTGTTTCCTCCTCTTTAAACTGGGGATGATCATAACGCCTGTTCCTAAGGGCTATTTAAGTTTTCAGTGAGACAGTCTGTGAGAAGCATCTTATCTAGTCCCTGGGGCATACGTGGTGAGCACTCCACTAATGTGACTGCTGTTGGTATCTCTTCCTGACTGGTCCTCTCTCCCACCTTCTTCCTTCCTTTTAGCTCACCTGACTGAGCACAGGGTTACTATCCCCTGTGGAAACTGGCACAGTACCTTGCTCAATCAATAGAAGTTTAAGTGCTTGTGCCAATTAAGTGATACAAATAAGCAGTGAAATAGAATCAGAAAAAGAGATGACTCATAGTTGGAGAGGTGAGGGAAGTTCGATGGAGATGGTGGGTTTTAAGCTGAACCCTGGTGTAGGGGTCAGCATTTGGACCCTGATTGATAGCAGGCCCTGACACATGCCCACGGGCAGGGAACACGTCCTGGTTGGCTGGAGTGGATACTGCACCAGAGCATTGGGAAGCAGAGCAGGAAAGGCAGCCTTGGGTCAGGCTGTAAAAGGCCTTCAAGGCTTCATGGGGTGTGGGGCTTTATCCTTTGAGCATGTAAGAGCCCTGGAGTCTGGGTTGCTACAAGGGGTAAATTTGAGATTGGGGAAACTGGAGTCCAGTGACCCAAAGAGGACACTGGAAAACTCATGAAATCCTGTTACCTAAACCAGCATTTCCTAAACTATTCCTCTGAATATGAATGATCCTCCTGGTGTTGCTTAATGTTTCCTGGTTGGTGGGGTGGAAGTGTATGGTTTCTCCTACTAAGAAAATGAGTGGGAGAATTACGGTATCTCAGGCTTCCCCCATGGAGATGACCATGTATCCTGACTTGACAGTCCTCTACTTTAAAAGTCTGTTTAGAACTTTGTTAAATTCGTGTTTCCCAAATTTAATTGAACACAGCCTTTTTTTTTCATGGAATGTATGTAAATAGCTCACAAAACAGTTTAAGAAACAGTGCCCTACACAATTCTAAACCAAGAGTATTGTAATGAAAGAACAAGTAAAGTTTAGCTCTTTCTCAGTGCTTAGCTGATCCTAGGACACTGTCATCAGGCAGTTGCCAGATAAGAACCACGTTGTTTCACACTGGGTGGTGTCGAATCTTCTGAGCATGCATCTTGCAGGGCGTCAGCAGTTGCTTACGTTCAGAATGCCAGGTTTCCGTTCCACCATGTCCGTCTCTTCTGTTCATTGTGAGCATCTCCACAAACATCCTCTATTGCCAATGCCTGCACCCAGCACGTGGTGACTCCCAACCTTCGTGGAAGTGCAACCCTGTATTTATTCTCCTCTATCCTCAAAAGATGTGTTATGCAGGATGTTGTATATGTAAAAGACAGTGAATTGAAATAAGGTGTTTTTTTTTTTTAAACAACAGCCCTTGAAAAATTTCGGAACATCCTTGACAAACAAAACCAGGGTTGGGATTCATCGATTTACGTGGTCATACCATCTTTCTCCCTCATTTTTGCTCAGTTAAAATTGTTAGTAGTGTGGAATAAAATTATCTTGCTGGGCTATTTATGCCTGAATCAACATAAATCTTGCATACTTCCAGAAAGTAATTCAGTTTCAAATCTTGATAGTACTACTTATTCACTTGTTTAATAAATTGTAATCTGTGTGCTGTCAGCTAACTGTTAAAAAGCAGGATGAGCTGATGATGGAATGATTGCCACTTAAAAGTTTTTAGCAATTTATGATAAATGATGCTTTTTTCAAAGATAAGTATGGAGTGGCTATCTGTAGAGTGCTTAGAACCTGGCACATAGTAAAGCATACATAAAGTGTTTGCTGCCATTGTTGTTATTGAAGATTGGGGCGAGGCCCTGCCTGGTTGTTATTTCCCAGTCTTCAAGATAGTTCATACTCCACTTTTCTCAATTGTTAGACATTTTTCATTGAAATTGCAGGAGCATTTTACCTAAAGAAAAACTCCATGCAGAATTGGAATTCATTACATTCCTGAGTGGTTGATGGAAATCATTTTGACCATAATAAATGATTAAAATAAAACATTAAAAGTAGATTTAAATAATATCCAGCTTCTTAATTTATGTAATTATTTTACTAGACCTCTAATTTAGGATACAGGGCTTTAAAATAATTTTGGATGGTTATACTGTAGTAAATTAAAGCCTTTCATATGTTTCCCATATTATAGAAAAACATGTAAGTTTATATATATTACCTTTGTTTTGAAAGTGCTTGTTGTAATTTTCTAATGCTTTTTGGAAGTCCAGATCTTTAAATAACTAATGTTTTCTGCTTCGCCTCTGCAGCTTACTGAAACAAATGCAGGTATCAAGTGCTTGGACTCCATGTGCTGTTTCCCGGAAGGAGAAGCAGCGTGCGCATCTGTTGGAAGAATGCTGGAACGAGTTATAGGAAGATGTAGTCTGACCCACATCAGCAGGTGTGAAATATCTCTAAGTAGCCTTTGCTGCAAATGAGTATCCTATCTGGAAAAGGATGAACCTGCAGCTCTAGATACCTAATAAATCAGCAGCTGGTTTTACCAACTGAAGCAGGAAGTCTGCTATTTATTAGCATTCCTTGGTGGTAGATTTCACTTTGTGGCTTTGGGGTAAGGGGCTTTTTCACTCACAAAGGAAGAGAAAGCACCTTTGAAGAGACTTCATCTAATGAACAAAACATTTTGTCTCATAGTCTTTCTAAAATGTGCTGAGTAGGAGTGTGTATATGGTACTCTTTCATGGTTTGTATAACTTTCTTTTTTAAATTATACATATACTATTTCCTTTTTATTATTTTTAAAATTTTTTTTGCTTTTTGTCTTTACAAAATAATCTCAACATAACAGTGAAGTCAAAGGCTTTCCTTTTCTTACTCTGTATGTATATTTTCCAGTTGCTTATTTGAGGCTTTGAGGTATTTATAAACACAAAAGGCTGTATTTCTGCTCCCCTACATCTTCTTATGTCTGTAATGAAGTTTTGAAATGAGTCATGATTTTTAAGTTTCTTTTGCTTGGTATTTATTGTCTAATTAAAAGTGTATGAGTTAGAGCAGGCTCTTTAAATTATGGAGTAAAAGAATCTTAGCATTTTTGTCCCCTTCTAAATCTATTTCTTGAATGAGGTTTATCACCATGCCTGCTGTTGTGCACCATAACAACAACAGCAACAACAACCACCACCTTTTGGTAAATACCATTTAAAATTCATTGAAACGTGCAATGAATTTATTTATTCATACATGGCCCCAAGAGTTATATCACTATTCAGAGGATGTTAGGGGGTAGGAAGCGCTTTTTCCACCCTTGGTGTTCTTTAGGTGAATGATACCATATTCTCAGAATCAGTGCAGCAGTACACGGTATGCATGGAGGGTACAAATGGGCGGGGAGAGATGTTGGTTCCCATTGTCCCAAATGTGCTACATGAATATTAGCACTTTCTACATGTGCCAGGGCTTGGAAAAGGTTGGAAATTACCCCAGGAACAGGTTATAAAGAGTGAAGAAAGCACTACTCCTATCTACTGGAAAAAGGATTTTTATTATTTGGTTAGCTTTATGTTTTAAAAAAAAAAATGAGTATGATATCATTCATCTATTATAAAATGCAGGTAACTTACTGGTGAACTTATTAGTTCCTCACTTTACCTTTAGCTTAGCCATGCCTTTATGTTACGATTGAATTTATAAATAGCATTCTTATGTTAACATATGTCTGTGGTTTCAATCCCCATTTATTCTGACTTGATTATAACATGTGATCTGAAATATTTCCATAAGGCTGTGATATCATTTTGTAGTAATTTCATTTCATGTAGAAGGATGAGTACTTAAACTCTGGGACTTTGTTATGATTCACATAATTGTATTATAAAATGTGGCTCTGTCATGTACCTAGGCCAGCAAGTTTCCCAAAGGAAGTTCTAAAAGAGCTTGATTTATAATATTATTTTACCTAATAACACAGCTTCATTGCACAGAATGAAGATAGGAGTTAGACCAAGATACAATAGAACCTCTACAGAATTTTTTCAACTTCTGTTTCAATGAAAGTTTCTCTTTAATGACAGTATATGTTTTTGTTAATGATTTTTTTAAACTAGAATTAATTTTAAATGAGCCCCAAATTTTTTCTTCTCTCTATATATATATCCATTTTCTTGATATCAATTATGTAGGTAATATACCCCCTTTATTCTTTACGTAGCCATTTTGATGCGGCATTACCTCTTTGGAACCTGCCCCAGGAGTTATTGAATTTACTTTGACGTGTAGCTATTATCATCTATACTTCTTTTCACTGAAAATTGTGCCACATTCTTTTTTCTGAATTTTTTTATTCTCCTAATAAAATGTTTAACTTAGTAATTAATATCATATTTGACAGACTATAAATGCCCTTCCAGTTTTCTCCAACATCACAGGTTATATTATTGGTTACTATTATTTTCTTAGCTTTTTTCTCATGTGAATAATCTAGAAAGTCTTTTCAGACCTGTTCATTCTTTTCTAGGGGATAAAGTCATATAATAACACCAAGCTACCTGGTGCTTTTCAAGGGCTACGTGAAAATTGCCATAGATGCATTAAGATTATATTTAAACTTTCAAAGTCATTTTGATACGTAGAGTTCTGGTTTTGTTTTTTACATATAATTGTATTTGTGAAATGTGTTGGGCATTTCCATTGTGACTTTAGAGCATCTATTCTGCATTTCTATTTCATGTCTAGGAGGTAGGCAAGGCTGAGACTGCCATTACAAGATGTGGAAGCCCTTGGCTGTGTGTTCCATTAACATATCACTTGAGAAATGCCACCAGTGTTTTTTATATGACAGATTTCTTTGGTGATTACATTTTTACCATCCAGGCACAAAAATCGACTTACATTTTATTAATTGGTGTTGTCAGTGAAGTATCCCATATTGCAAGCTTAGTTTCAAAGGGAGCATCATGGTGCTATATAAAGGATATGCCATGTTGCACCCTAAAGAGCTGGATTTTAGCAATAAAAGATTTTCTGTTCCTATTATTACTAATAGTTACTTTATCCTAATCAAAACTATATTCTAAATAGAAAGTAAGTAATACGTAGTTCAAGTGTTTAATGTTCTGTCAAAAATTATATTTAACATATGAATGCACAATGTGTGCTTTGAAAAAAAATTTTTAAATGAAGGAGACGTTACCTAATAAGATTCTTGGGTGTAAGCAATGTGGAAAGAAGAAAAACTAATATAAAGTATGGCAGTTTGGAATTGGACATCTGACTCCACATAACTGGGATATTGATAGCTGTTATAGTTAAAAGTTATAGTTAAAAGCATACTTTTCCCCTGTAAATATTTACTGTTAAAGAAATTTTCATCTTCTTGTTTTATTCATTTATTCTACAAACACTGGGTGCCTAATATATGTCAGACACAGTTCTAGATGCTAGGCAGATAGTAGTGAACTAGTCCTTCCCTAACCTAAGGTAGATACTGTTCCAGCTTTTCTAGAAACTAGTCGAATTAAAGTTGAGCTACATACAAACTTAGCATCTCTGAGAAAAAGAAAATATTTGACAAAGGTGAATTGGGGCCATTTTTAATGCTCATCTCTTCCTGTAACATCTCTGTTTAGGGAAGGTGGGAACCCTGGAAAAAGTTACATAAAATGTATTTATTGGCCGGGCGCGGTGGCTCAAGCCTGTAATCCCAGCACTTTGGGAGGCCGAGACGGGTGGATCACGAGGTCAGGAGATCGAGACCATCCTGGCTAACACGGTGAAACCCCGTCTCTACTAAAAAATACAAAAAACTAGCCAGGCGAGGTGGCGGGCGCCTGTAGTCCCAGCTACTCGGGAGGCTGAGGCAGGAGAATGGCGTAAACCTGGGAGGCGGAGCTTGCAGTGAGCTGAGATCAAGCCACTGCACTCCAGCCCGGGCGACAGAGCCAGACTCCGTCTCAAAAAAAAAAAAAAAAAAAAATGTATTTATTGTTAAATGTGTTTAGTCTCGTAAGAAAAGCAACCTTTCACTTGGCAGTCCTAACATTGTCCTTGAACTAGGTTAGTCTATTTTAAGCATGGCAGGCTACTTTTGGTCTTGAGTTATTTTAGCTTAAATTAACTCAAGCTAATTTAAGTTTACAGCTGCACATAAAGTATTATGTAATGAATTGCTTTAGGGCCTTATCATTCAGACACCAGTTAACTTTTCCAGAGCAGTAGAGGATTGTTTGTTCTTAGTTAAGTGAAAACACTAGTGACCTACAGGTGTCTTTGATGTCTTTTGAATACATCATTCACTACATTCAAGCTAATTATGCTGAAGTCTTTAGAATAGGATTTATAGCTGAAATGAAATGATCAATAATAGGAACATACTACTGTTTCATTCCAAAGCCTTTGGTAAGTGGGATTTGGGTTTGTTTTTGTAAACTGAACTTTTCAGTAAAACTGAATGTGCATAACTCTTAATAACATACTTCTTATTGAATTGTTAAGACTTTAAAAAGCATCCCATGCTTTATTACATATATAAACTGTTTTAATGCTAATGAATGTTTGAATTTTGGCTAATATTTTTATATGATGACTAGAGCATTATTTTTCCCAAGTTTTTATATAATATAAATAGAAAGTTTGGGCATTCAATACTAGTATGAAGAACCTCTCTTTAGCATTTAATTGAATCAATCAGTGATTGCATTTGGGTCCTAAGTTTTAGAGTAAATTTTTTTCTCAATTAAAACATAGGTCCTGGTGAGCCAAACTTTTCTCTTATTGTTACTTTAGATCATGGAGTGCATCGGATCCTTTCTATACCAACGACAGGAGCATCTTGACTCTCTCCACAATGGACTCATCTACTTGTTAAAGGGGCTGTAGTGCTTTGTGGGAGCCATTTCACCTCCTTTCCTAAAATTCAGTGTGATCACCCTGTTAATGGCCACACTAGCTCTGAAATTAATTTCCGAAATCTTTGTAACAGTTCACACCCACTCCGAGTTACGATGGCAGACAAACAGAAAGCATTAATACAAGCCCCTCCTAACACCCTTAATTTGAATCTGAACATGTTAAAATTGGAGAATAAAGAGACATTTTTCATCTCTTTGTCTGGTTTGTCCCTTGTGCTTATGGGACTCCTAATGGCATTTCAGTCTGTTGCTGAGGCCATTATATTTTAATATAAATGTAGAAAAAAGAGATAAATCTTAGTAACGTGTATTTTTTAGTATTAGCTTGATTACTGACTCTTCTATTTAAATCTGCTTCTGTAAATTATGCTGAAAGTTTGCCTTGAGAACTCTATTTTTTTATTAGAGTTATATTGAAACTTTTCATGGGAAAATTTAATGTGAATACTGAGGAATTTTGGTCCCTCAGTGACCTGTGTTGTTAATCCATTAGTGCATTCTGAGTTCACAGAGCAAATTAGGAGAATCATTTCCAACCATTATTTACTACAGTATGGATACCAATTCCTCTAACTGTACTGTAACACAGCCTGTAAAGTTAGCCATATAAATGCAAGGGTGTATCAAATATACAAATCAGGAATCAGGTCTGTTCACCGAACTTCAAATTGATGTTTACTAATATTTTTGTGACAGAGTATGAAGACCCTATAGTGGGTAAATTAGATACCGTTAACATATTATTAATTTAATGTCTTTATCATTAGATCTTTTGCATGCTTTAATCTGGTTAACACATTTAAATTTGCTTTTTTTCCTCTTTACCCGAAGGCTCTGTGTATAGTATTTCATGGCATTGTTGTAAAGTTTAACTAAATAAAAAGTTTGGACAGTATTTAAATATTGCAAATATGTTTAATTATACAAATCAGAATAGTATGGGTAATTAAATCAATAAAAAGAGAAGAGCCTCTTTCTGCGGCCAACTTACAATTGCTCTTCCCCTCGTAAACTAGATTTTAGAATAAAGGGTTTCAGTTAATAATCTTATTTTCAGGTTATGTTATCTAAGTTATAGCACACTACCACAATACAGTGGGTTCTGCCAGTGTCCCAGTGCAAGGCATATTTTCAGGTGTGGCTATGGAATGTAAATTGTTAAAGTCTAAAATGCTAAACTTGTATCAGGTAACATTAGCAATAAATTACAATGCTAAGAATGATTAATCAGATAGATGTTACTGTAATTAACTCATTGCACTTCAAAACCTAACTTCCATCCTGAATTTATCAAGTAGTTCTGTATCGTCATTTGTTTTTGTTTTGTTGAAATGTTGTCTTAAGATTTAGAAGTGATTATTAGCTTAAGAATTATTTATTACCCAGCTCTAAGCAAATAATGATTGTATACATATTAAGAAAATGGTTAAATGCGGTTTTATCAAGTTTTCCCTTAAAAATGTCATTCTTTTATGGAGATTTATTGTGCAGCCCTAAGCTTCCTTGCCATTTCATGAATATAAGGCTTCTAGAATTGGGCTGGCAGGGAAAAGAATGGTTGAGACAAAAATTAAGACTTTATCTTTGTTTGCTTGTAAACTATTTTCTTGCTAATGTAACATTTGTCTGTTCCAGTGATGTAAGGATATTAAGTTATTAAGCTAAATATTAATTTTCAAAAACAGTCCTTCTTTAACTTAAGATATTCCATAGTTGGATTTAGGAAGATCTGTTATTCTGGAAATACTTTAAAAGAATAATACACTGTACAGTGTCTGCATTCACTAATTCATGTTCCAGAAAAGGAATACTGCAGATATACTCAGTGGAGTACTTTAGTGGAGGATATGGAAATTTGCTTATAAAGTCTCTTATAAAACGTACATATAACAAAATGACATTCAATAGGCCTGCATTACATTTACATGACCGTGTTTATTTGCCATCAAATAAACTGAGTACTGACACTAGACAAAGACTCCAAAGTCATAAAGTAGCCTATGACCAACTGCAGCAAGACAGGAGGTCAGCTCACCTAGAATGGTGCTTAAAGTGTGATTGATGTAATTTTCTGTACTCGCCATTTGAAGTTAGTTAAGGAGAACTTTATTTTTTAAAAAAAAAAAGTAAATGGCATCCACTAGTGTGCTCATCCTGAACTGTTACCCCAAATCCACTCCGTTTTTAAAGCAAAATTATCTTGATTTTAAGAAGAGTTTTCTATTTAAGAAAGTAACAATGCAGTCTACAAGCTTTCAGTAGTTTTCTAGTGCTATATTCATCTTGTCAAACTCTTACTACGTAACCAGTAATCACAAGGAAAGTGTCCCCTTTGCATATTTCTTTAAAATTCTTTGGAAAGTATGATGTTGATAATTAACCCTTATCTGCCAAAAGCAGAGCAAAATGCTGAATATGTTATTGCTAGTTAATCAGTGGTCTGAAACCGATTTGCCTCCTTTTGCCTTCCTTTGCCTCGTCTGAGGGCTGTAAGCCTGAAGATAGTGGCAAGCACCAAGTCAGTTTCCAAAATTGCCCCTCAGCTAAGGCTTTAAGTGACTCAGCACCCTGCCTCAGCTTTAGCAGGCATAGGCTCACCCTGGGCGGAGCTAAGTATGGGCCAGGGAGAACTACAGCTACGAAGACCTGCTGTTGAGTTGAGAAAAGGGGAGAATCTATGGTCTGAATTTTGTAACCGTCCTCTTTCTTGGGTCTAAAGCTCATGATATACAAAGGCTTCCAGAGCTGAGCCCCGCGCAGGCAGTGTCCTGAACAGGAGACTACACAGAGGCAAATCAGCCTTAGGGAACACTTGCATTCTGCCCTACGGTTAGTGCCAGGACTGAGGCCGTTTCTACTGCAGAAGATTGTGAGATTGAACTTACCTGAGAGCTGGAGACTCCTGAGAAGCAGGAGTCAAGGCCACTAGAAAATTGACAGTTAAGAGCCAAAAGTTTTTAAAATATGCTACTCTGAAAATCGCTGTAGGAAAAGGGAGAATCTTCCCTGTTGGTGTTTTTCCTGTAAAGATCGGTTTGGGGTATGATATTGGGCAGGTATTAATAAAAATAGCACACCAAAGAGTTCTGTAAAACATGTTTTATTGATTTTGGTCCCCACTTACATTCTATTTCTAGGAGTTACCTATTTTCATATAAGTAAAACATTATTAAAGTGCTGTTTTATGTGAAATAACTTGAATGTTGTTCCTATAAAAAATAGATCATAACTAATACATTTGTAATAATGGTAATTGTTAGATTTTTATGAGGAATGAGTATCTGGAAATATTGTAGCAATACTTTTAGTTTAAAATTTTGGACCTGAGACACTGTGGCTGTCTAATGTAATCCTTTAAAAATTCTCTGCATTGTCAGTAAATACAGTATATTATTGTACAGCTCTTAGTAATTTTTTAAAGTTTATGAAGTTATATTTATCAAATAAAAATTTTCCTATATAATTAAAAGTGTTCCTTTATTTAAGCATTTTAAGCCTCTCTCTTTATCACAACCTTCACTGCCAAACTTGTTTGAAGTTAAATTTTACTGTATTTACCCTTCATTATAGGACAGGGATATCATTTATGCCTTTCACTGACTGCAGTTTTTAAAAATGTAGTTCTTACCCAGCTTTTATAGATCATCAGTACAACTCCTGGAAAAGATTCTGATGAGAATGCGCCAGCTGTAAAGACCAGCATACCTCAACTAGACTAGAAACTGCATCATTCCTGAAAAGCCAGCCAAGAGCACTTGTGAATTTGGAAATGCCCTGGTTCGTAGAAAATATGTGCTTTTTAAAAAAATATAACTGATGATAGAATGTATACTTCCCTATAAAATAATCCCGTTTCCTGACACCCAGTTATTTTCACTGCTTCCTCGGTTGCCAGTTAGAACAGACATAATTGTCTAATCTACATCTGCGTAAAAAGTTAAGCTGTTGTCTTTGCCCAGCTGTTAGTATTTGCAAAGGATGACAATGCATGATTTATATAATGTAATGTATTTTTGAGATGTAATAAGAATATGATCCTAGACAAATCCATTTAGGCATCTGTTTTTATATTTAAAAGGAGTGTTTGGACTATTTTTAGGATGACTACTGTCTTTAACTTCTAATATACAAGTAGAACATGATGAATAATGAACAAGAAATTTAGGACAAAAAAATTGGAAGCATTTCACTGGAAAATTAGTGAATTCAAAAATTCAAGTTTTATATTGAAGAGCTAACTGACTCAAAAGAAAGGCTATTGTAAATGGAGATAAGTCACCACACCTCTCTATGAACAGCCCGAGAACCCTGTGATAAATCAGATTTTTAAATACTAATTTAAGGTAAAATGGTTTGTATTCAGATATAATTTGTACACAGTAAAATGTATAGATTTTAGGATTATAGTTACTCACTTTTGATAAATCTCTACACCCATGTAACCCTTACCCCAAACCAGGTTAAAAATCCTTCAGGCATTCCTCAAGGTTCCCTTGTGCCTTTTGCAGTGAATTTATTCCCTTCTTGGTCCTGTCCCAGCAACCATTTTCTGATTCCTGTTGTCATAGATTAGTTTTGCCTAATCTTGAATTTTATGTAAATGACAGTACACAGTGTGTCACTTTTGTGTCCGGCGTTGTTGCTCAGCGTGTCTGAGAGACTCATCTATGTTGTGCCAGGACCCATGGTTTTCTTTCTGCTACTCAGTAGTGTTTCATTGCATGAATGTACCACAATTTGTCCTTTCTCCTCTTTATGGACATGTGTTTTTTTACAGTTTGGGGCTATTGTTTAATAAAGTTATTATGAACATTCTTTGTGGACTTATGTTTTCACTTCTTCTGTGAAATAACTAGGAGTAGAATTGCAGGGTCATAGGGTAGGTTTATAAGAAACTATCAAAAAGTTTTCCACAGTGGCTACATGTACTATTTTACACTCCCACCAGCAACTATGAGAGTTCCAGTTGCCAACATTTGGTGGTGTCTTTTTAATTTTAGCCATTCTAATAAAGTATCTCACTGTGGTGATTTGCTTGATGATGTTTAATCCTCTTCATATGCTCACTGGTGATTTATGATTTTTTCAAAATGTCTGTTCAAGTCTGGCCATTTTTTTCATTAGGCTACTTTTCTTGTTACTGAATGGTAGGAATCTTTAAGGTAAGGATATAAGTCCTTTGTCTTATGTATGTATTACTAGCATTTCCCCCCAGTTTGTGGCTTGCCTATTTATTTTCTTGTCACTCTGGGGAGCAGAAGCGTTTTATTTTGATGAAGTTCAATTTTTTTTTCCTTTTATAGTTAGGTGCTTTTCATGACTTCTAAAAACTCTGTCAGCCCCAAGGTCATGAATAAATTTTCCCATGTTTTCTTCTGAAAGCATTAGTCTTAACTTGTATGTTTAGGTCAGAGATATCTCAAATTCATTTGAGTATGATGCAAGGCAGCAAGGAATGAGGATCGTCCTTCCCCGCAACCCCCCCAACCCCTGACAAGGTTATCTGGTTTAACCCCATTGCTTTAAAATATTCTCCTCATTGAATTGGTATGGTGCCTCTGTTTAAAATGAATTGACTTTTCTAAAAAAAATAAAATAAAATAAAATAAAAAACACCTGATGTGGTTTTCATTTGTATTTTTCTGAATCTATGCATCAATTTGGAACAGACATCTTGAGTCCTCCAATCCATGAACATGGTATATCCATTTATTTAGGTCTTCTTTAATTTCTCTCAGCGATGTCTGGTAGTCTTTAGTGTAGATATCTGGCAAATACTCTTGTTAAAGTCCTAATTTTTTATGATTTTTTATGCTGTGTTAAGGGGACTCATTTTCAAATTTATTTTCCTATTAGCCTTACTAGAACACAGAAATAAAATATGAAATAAGGGGCAGGGCGCGGTGGCTCACACCTGTTAATCCCAGTGCTTTGGGAGGGTGAGGTGGGCAGATCACAAGGTCAAGAGATCAAGACCAGCCTGGCCAACATGGTGAAACCCCGTCTCTACTAAAAACACAAAATTAGCTGGGCATGTTGGTGCACGCCTGTAATCCCAGCTACTCAGGAGGCTGAGGCAGGAGAATCACTTGAACCCAGGAGGCAAAGATTGCAGTGAGCCAAGATCACACCACTGCACTCCAACCTGGGTGACAGAGCGAGATTCTGTCTCACAAAACAAAAATTTAAAAAAATAAGGATATGATCCTGGACAAATTAATTTTAACTTTGTTAACCTACAACCTTGCCATAGTCACTTCATATTCACATTCAAAGGATTCTTTTGTATAGAATCCTTTGGATTTTCCCATATACAGTCACGTCATCTGAGAACTAAAAGGTTAATTTTTTTCTTTCCAATCTTTATGCCTATAATTGTTGCTGCCCTGTACACTAGCTAGTACAGTGTGCTGTAACACTGATACAGTGTTATATAGGCATGGTTAAAACCATGAATAGGTGCTGAATTTTGAAAAATGCTTTTTTTCCATTTACTGAGATGATGTGTTTTAATTTTTTTAGTTTGATAATACAGTGAATTACCTTGGCTGATTATGGTTTTTTGTTTGAGAGACAGAGTCACCCCCTGTTGCCTAGGCTGGAGTGCAGTGGCACACTTTTGGCTCCACTGCAGCCTGGAACTCCTGGCCTCAAGCAGTCCTCCCACTTCAGTCTCCCAAGTAGCTAGGATTACAGGAACACACCACCACACCCAGCCAATTTTTAAGTTTTTTGTAGAGACGAGTATCACTATGTTGCCCAGGCTGATCTACAACTCCTGAGCTTAAGGAATCCTCCCACCTCAGCCTCCCAGAGTGCTGGAATTACAGGCATGAGCCACCACACCCAGTCTTCCTTGGTTGATTTTCAAATGTTAAACCAACTTTGCATCCCTAAAATAAATCCCACTTGGTTGTGATGTTTCTTACTACACTATGACCACACCACCATGCCCCCCCTCCCCCATTTATATCTACTTCCTCAGAAAATAGTTAGACCTACCTTTAAAATATATCCAGAGTTCAAATACATTAATATTTAGAGTTTTTGTCAACCTGGTTATCACCCTGGTCTAAGTCACCATCATCTCAGGATAATTGCATTAACTCTTTAACTGACGTATTAGTTCTGTATTGCTGCATAAAAAAATTCCCCAAAATTTCACATCATAAAACTAGACTTGATTCCCGTTTCTGTGGATCCAGGATATGGGTGCAGATTATCTGGGTACCAAAGCCTCAAGGTCTTTCACAAGGCGGCAGTCAAACTGTCAGAGCCGCAGTATCACCTATCACCTGAAGGCTCAACTGAGATTAAACCTGCAGCCAAGCTCATTAATGTGATTGTATGATTTAGTTCTTTATGGGTTGCTGTACTAAGGACTTTCAGTTTCTTACTGGCTGTTGGCCAGAGACTGCTCTCAGTTCCTTCCCTCATGGACCTCTCAAAAAGGCAGCTTACAAAATGGCAGCTGGCTTCCAACCAAGTGAGCAAGAGAGGGCATGCAAGATGGAAGCTATTTATAACCTAATCTCAGAAGTGATGTCTCATCACTTGACCATATTCTACTCATTAGAAGCAAGTCACTAAGTCCTGACCATACTCAAGGGGAAGAGATTACACCAGAGTGTGAATCCCAGAAGGCAGGGACCACTGGGGGCATTTTAGAGGCTGCCTACCACAACTGATCCCCGACTTTCATCTTACCTCCACTCTACCCCGACACAACAGGATTTTTGTCAACATCAGCTAAAGTAATTTTATTAAAACTAGTCAGGACTTGTTACCCCTCCAATGACTTCCCACCTCACTGTAAAAGCCACAGCACTAATAATAGCCTACAAGGCCATATACAATTTGCTACCTGTTATCTCTGACCTCATATCTTGTTCTCCTTACCCCCTCTCCCCCTCCCCAGCCTGACAGCCTCCTTGATATTCCTTAAACACGCCAGGCTTGTTGCCAACTCAGAGCCCTTACAGTTTCTATTTTCTCTGCCTACAAAGCCTTCCCAGACATATGCATGGCTTACTACCTCATTTTTTTAGGTACTTATTCAGATGTCTCCGTGAGGCCCTACCTGATCACCCTCTTTAAAACTGCATCATCTCCTCACCCCTTCCCTGCTTCATTTTCCCTCTGCAGCACTACATATCACACCGTATACTTGACTGATTTTGTTTATTACATCCCCAACGCTAGAATGTAAGCTCCATAAAGGTAACTATTCTTGTTTCGTTCACTGCTGTATTCCCAGAATAATGCCTGGCACATTAAGGACTTAAGAGACATTTATTTGAATAAGTTAGTGAATCAATTCTGAAAGCCATGGGGAGTTACCAGAGGATCTTAAGCCTTTTAGCTAAATCATCCTGACAAGAGTGAGAACAAGTGGTTGGAAGAGAAGCAGACAAAAGCCATAGAGAACATATAAAAAGCCACTGCAAACATCAAGGAATTCAA